GCAACACTAATTTAACACTAGCTAAAATATTGGAGGAAAATATACACAATTTTAGTCAAAATGTGGTAGAAAATGGACAGTGGAGGAAAACGGTATCTCGTTTTTGGAGGAAAATGGACCGATATTAGAAATGTTTTTTCCGCAATGATTGTAGGTAGATACTTATAACTAGGTACCTACGCGATTTGAGATAATAAACTTGTTTCGATTGTGTGAAATCATAATTTATTGTAATAAATAGATGTCATAGCGCAATCATATAATATGACTGTGCTCAGTAATTTGTCGTTTACTATAGAGCGTTTTTAAAACTACATTCAATAATATTAACAACACAAGGGTATACAATTTCGTATTATGCCACAATATACAATATGCATCATAAAAAATGTGGTTTGAAATTTAATTCGCTCAACTGTCCCGTGTCCGTATACTCAAGTATTTTGAAAACGTGTTTAAATATACATAATCCGCCGTGATCACGTGCATGATGGAAATGATAATTTAATTATTAGTTTAGCTTTTTTTTTTTTTTTAAATATTTATTAGAAATAAACAATCTATACAAGAAATGTACAATAAGCATTAAGCTTATGTGTTAAGAGAATACATGGCATGAMAAATTGAGTAAGAAGCCACCCACTGGCAACACTTAGCATGATTTATTAGTTTAGCTAAAATAAAACGTTTAGCAATTGAAAAATCTGAATCATCACCTGCAACACTATTATAGTCAAAATATATATACTTGGCAAGTGTTGCTGTTGCTATAATTGTCCGAACAATGCACAGCCAGTGGCTCCAGTATAATATCATGCTCAGAGAAGATTGTTTGAGACGGACTATTCAAAATAATYGATGATGATTWCGGCCTGTAAGCAGGAACACGATCGACTGAACAACTATAATAAAAAGTAAGTGTAATTTTTCGTATGTAATATGTATAATGGTTTAYCTATTTAATAATTCAGATTTAACACATTCGTTAGCTTACAATATTATTGAACTTTTCGTACGCAACATGATGATCCATATTTAACACAATGGAACACTCATTATATCAAAAACTACCAATTAACATTTTTATGCACAATAAAAAAATAAATTTCWTTCCTCAAAAATGTTATTATTAACGACTTAAAATTATGCGAAAGAAATATTTTCAAAACGTATATGTTTTTGCGATATAATATAAGTCTTACGTTAAATCAATCAATCCATATTTGGAATTTAGAATTTGATAAATCCATACAAATTTAGATATAAGTATGTATGTTAAAATTATAAATTTGTAAAGTTTATGAAAATTCTTTAACCTGATATCGTGCGTTAATTATTTTTTACAAATTTTATCATAGGTACGGTTAATTCTTATATTTTATTTTCAAACCTATAGAAAAACTTAAATTAGCCTATAAAAGGCTATATAAAACGTAACCTACTCGTCCAACCGTCCAAGATACACATAGTTGACCTAACCTATACTCAGCGTATTTATTAATATTATAATATGTTACATGAATTGTTTGGAACTCTCTTGTTCCTTGTTTGTTGAACCCATGTTAAAATTCAAAGACTCGTCGAATAGAATAATATACTTAGATCCTATACATTATGAGGTCCAGCATCGAGCTGTACCTACACTATATAACATATCGTTACGGAACTATACGTAGTTAATACTAATCACAMAACTAACAACGGATATAAAACATAACGAGAATAAATTAACATTCTGGTAAGACCTATTTAGATTAACTTAAGTATGAAACGTACCGACGGGCTACGACCACAGATTAAAACAAATTTTATTTAATCTATACTACCACCGTGTTTTACAAACATTATTTATAAATATACCTACTGCATAACATAACTATCATGACACATTCGACAACATAATTTAGGCTAGAAATATTAAGCAAATGTAGGCTAAAAACCTATACTATGTAGTCGAAGGTTTTAACCAAATGCATTTTTCTTAAATATACCATAACAATATTATCTACAACGTTATTATTATACATGACGTGTAACAAGTAGCAACGGACAAAATATCAAATAGTCAAACTGCAGTACAATATTATTATTATGAAATAAAATAAAATACATACGATAATATGAGTTTAATGACATAATACTACTATAGARATCCCGATCATTAAATCCGTCAAACGATTTAAACGGTTAGTCATAACTCATAAATGCATAATGAGTGATGAGACACACAKGCCACAATAGCACTGAAAATATAATGATGTTTACCAGTGAAATTACCGATATTGGCTATACGAACATCTGCACGACTCCATAGGAAATAAATTGTTAATTTATTTCTGATGTAATAATTATAATGGTGTATGTAATATTCACACGAATATCTGTACAACGATTCTCCTTCTTATTTCTAATCTTATAGAGTAATTTTATAAATATTTAAAAATGTTTCCCCCACTTTCTATCGTATATTAATCACAACTCGTATGCGTAAATAAACCATAGATGTGCATTAAAATAAATCTAAAAACCAATTTGTGAATATCATTTGTAATTTGTGAATATCATTTGTAATTTGTGTGCAATTAAATCATTAAGAGTAACTCCTGACTGTTGATTTCTATATTTCCCGATGTATTTATCGGCATTATAATATTTTTTAACTATAGCAGTGATCTGTTTTAGCTGAATAACAATTTTTTTGGGTTAAGCTTATCAAAAATTATTTTTGTAACTCAATCGAGAACAAAATTATAGACTTTCGAATTTCTATATTGAAAGACAACGCACTAATGCTATTACCAGAAAAACATGTGAAAAGACAATTTCGCCTACCAAAAAACGAGAAAAATTAATTTTTTTAAACAAATACATATTATTACCTATAGGCTATAACTGTTCTATTTTTTCCAAGTTTCTATAGTGATAATCAATTTGTAACGTGTTTATTTCATAGAGTAATAACTCTATGGTTCATTTTTATTTAAAATTAATAAAAAAAAAAATGCAAATGGTTGGTAATTACGTTTATTTCATAATTTTTAAATACATATAGGTACTTACTACATATCAGCACACTATTTATGGGTTTTAATTAAGAAAACYTTTTTTGTACAAAACTCAAAGTCGATAAAAACGTTGTTGATTTTAGTCGATTTATATGACTTTATTCTGCTTTTTACTGTCCTTTTAAAGGTATTTATCTAATACAAATAATACTGGGCATACTGTTCTGACTATACCTAAAAATATCTCAAATGGATTTTTTAATAATATTGAGACGACGATATCGGCTATAATTATTATCTAGTATGAAATGTCCTCGTTTATTATGTGTTTTGAATGGCATTTTATTTAATTTCGATAAAATGTTTTTTTTTATGTAAAAAAATATATATTGATAGTACCTATACAATTGTCATGCTTATTTATGGTGATGCAACAAATCCAACAAAATGGAGCTAATAAGTATAATTAAAAAATATCTGTATCTTTTACGTTAGCCATAAAGTGAGTTATATTTTTCTCGAAAAAAAAGGCACTCGAATAGATACAATTTGTAATTCAGATTTCAGCTCAATGCGATTGGCTTCATCGATCAATTTATTGGAGTCGAAATAATTGCGCCCAAACATTTCCAACTAACTCGCGTATAGTAGCTAGATGATTATGACCAATCACTACACATACAGGTAAATAGGTAATATCACTAAAATAGTTTCAAAAAATACCTAACAATATGTAAATTTGTTTAGCCATTTATCATAATATCATTCGAGGCCATTATTCGTATGTACTATGTAGTACATTGTATACGCCAGTTAACACGACCCACCCACCATCAATGAGCACCCGAGCAATTATTGCACTATATGCACTATAAGCTGCAGTGTGGGCACCACCTATAAAGTATTCCCGTAGGTAAATTGTTAATTTATATAACTTTTGAGGAAAACATTCCATTTGGAAATGTCATGGTGGATACCATTATATAAAGTATAATAAAATGTGAGTTTTGAAATATAACTTCGATTACCTATGGCAAACAGTGATGTTTCCCAAATGTTTCCGTTAGTTTTGCTTGGAATTTTAGGAACTTTTGACTTCACCATGTACCAACTAAATTTAATTTGAGATCAGAAACYGTCCAAGTTGAAGATKTAATCATTTTTACAGCTCCATAACTTAATGACAAAATATACCAAATATTTTTTTTAATTAAAAATAATACCTATATTTTATTATAAAATCAATTTATTAATTTGTTTTGCTCAGAATTTAAAATGTGAAACCTTTAACCGCTAACTGATTTCACAATAACATATTACAATGATTTTAATGAACTAGAGACGCCCAGAGTTGTAGCTAAACATTTTATGCATATTTAAAAAAACAGTCTATAAGAATTTTTCTGACTTATGAAATAAATTATACCTTTAGTCATTATATCTCCATAATATGATACATATGGAGCCATTTAAAGCATTTTAACCAAATATAGAAATTGATCACATTATTTWCTTAACTTTTTCAATTACAGTTGCTTTAAGTGAAAGAAGATAAATTTTCATTGATTTTATGTTAACATTTAATATTACCAATTTTTTTTATATTTATTTATTCATACATTTCTTCCAACATTTTTGTGTGTTGATGTCTATATGATGGGAGGGGAGTGGTGGCCATAATAAATTATCGCTATAMATATTAGATTGTACACAATATGCCAAATTTTTTTCCAGTAAATTGCACACAACTTTTGTAATTATGTCCGATGTCCTATATTTATAAAATTTAATTTATGTATTTATAATAACATTAATAACCCTGTGTTAATGTTTTTTATTTATAAATACATGACAATTATTTACTAAATATAGACTACACAGACATGATCACTAATAATGATTTAATAATTTATATATAATAGCACTTTTTYATAAGATAAAAAAATTAATAAATATTAATTGGTAATTATATAAAAATAGTATAATTGGAAAAAAAACAGTACATAAATACAAACAAAATCACAATAATAACAATGAATAGTAATAATAGGTAGTTTTTTAAACAGGTAATGAATTTGACACTTTATTTTTCACTATAGATGAACATAAACGTCCAAAAAATGATAAACCTTTTTGACCAAATGGTATGGAGTTTAATAAAAACCAAAGAATAAGTATCAAATGAACAGTCAATGATAGTAATGTAAATGGGGTATTTTTCATCCACAATGAAAAATACAAAGTACTCAAAAGAGTCRTAATGTAGCCAAACATGAAAGGAAGCTTTTCTTTTGATGTAACATACTTGTAGTGATTCGATGGACCCATCAAAAATGATACACTAAAAAAATATTTATTTATTTAATGTATGTTATGAGCATGAACATTTTATTACATTAAATACAATGTACAATTAATTATTTAATATAACAAATTCAWAGTCTAAAAATACAAGTTTTTATAAAATAATTTTAATAACTTTTAAGATGTATCTACTTCGTAATCAATTTAGGTTGACAATTGGTAATATTGTAATAAAATTACTTCTCTTTTTTTCAATCTCATTACGTCTCAACCAATCCTTAGATTATTCCGTGAACTCAAAATATACCTAACTCAATATTCCAGTCCATTATTACAAAATATTGTAATCCCTATTCTAGACTAATAATTGTATTTGAAAGTACTTAAAACAAGTTTTTTTTTTAAATGAGAAGAATGAGATATATTTAACTTAAATACAATTATTAATTATACATTTTTTATAGTAATTGTATATGAAWATAGTACTTCATTAGGGACATCTAAAAACATTAAAAATAAATTGTTAATGAAAAATAATAAGAGTCATAGATTACCTGGCAAAAGCAAATATGCTTCCAGAAGCATATAAAATTGCAAACTTCCTAGCTTTTATTAGAAGTACGGGCAAGTATAATGCAGAAAGAGAGAACATTAAACAGCTAATTGATACGCAAACCACAAATCCCAATATTCTTTGGGTTTTACTCTGTAAAATCAAATTATAGTATTTATGAAAATATTTAATTGGAATGTAAATATAGTTCAAAGCAAACAAATTGTTATTATTAAATCTTACCATCTGCGGAAAATTAAAATAAGTCGTCTGTGTCGAGTCCAATAGGTTTTCTGTCTGTTCGCCCGATTCACTGTTGAGCAGTTTCTTAAACACTTTTGGAATGTGTACGTGGTGCCCATTATGGGATTTATTTTTTTGGCCTTTGTTAAGATACTCATCGAGTTCCAGTTTCAAATTTGACATTATGAAGTTATTATCACTGAGTGCATAATTTCAACTAAGGTGTCGCAATACATCAGTATGTAGACTGATATTGACGAGCAAAATATAATAATATACTAAATCGTTCTAGTCGTATGCGGAATTTAATATTTTAAGTTACAATAAACGTGGTAAAAAATTTTATGATTGTTATTTGTTACCCGTTAGTTGTAATCTTGAACGTCCAGCCATAAATTCAACAGAAAATTTGGTATTCATTTCAATTTCAAAGTTGATAGATATTTAATTATATTATTATAACGTAAATTCTGTGATATACTTTGACTAGGTAAATAAACAGATTAGTCATCAAGCTCTTAGGAATATTAGAATCATCGAAAGATTTGACAGATTGACCACTTAATTCGATAACACAAATTCCGAATACTCTGATAGTAATATTGTTATCACTACTGATAAAAACGAATTTAGATAATAACCACGATTTATCTTAAATCGTGATAATAACACGGAGCACGGTTTAATCATTGAACTATATATGATAACTGGAATGCTCACCCGCCATAAGACCAATGTAAACATAACCGAGATAGCCTGTTAAAAAAAGACAGCAGATAAGAATGGTGTTGCTATCTCTTTTTATCACATTTTCCAATATGATTGTTATCATATAGTTCAATGGGTTTAATTTTATTGTTCTGTGGTTTAAGATAATATACGGTATATAATCTCAAACCGTGAATCAGAGTAAAATATATTATATATATATATTATAAATATATTATTATATTCTGTGGTAAAAGCATAGATTAGGATTAGATGTGTTATGAATTTATGACTAAAGACTGAACTTCAACTGAAGAATAATATATTATTAATGATTATCTCTGATCGTGCACATAGTATGAATTAATTTATTGTAAATTTGCATCTATATTTAAATAGCATAATAAGTTATGACTTAAAACTATATTTTTATAGTCTTCAGTAATAACTAATAATTATAGAATGGATCACGATGACATGAACCGAGATTTAAGATTATCTTAGTTCACGGAGTTGATGAAAATAGAACATGAGATGATCTGTTTTGTGTTGTGGTATTTTCTTTCAAATCTGATGAATAATAAGGAAATTCAGCACGAAAAATAAAAATTTTAATAACAACTGTATAAAATAGTATATAAATATATAATCATGATTCATGAAATTATAAAAACTTRAAAATGGAACATAATTTAAATAGTTATTTTCAATAATCCATCTCACCGAGAAAATGTCTGTGTACACGGTACACCCATAAATCATATTCTATAAATAATATTTAATACGTAGATAGGTAGGCCATCTGAACGATTTGCCTAATAAATAACCCCGGAAAAAATAACCCTATAATAAAATTGTAAGGTGTACCTGCAGGCACCTACCTATTTGTAATACAATACAATTTCAATAATATAATAATAATTAAAAACAAATAATTGTCAAATTTTTCAATTACGGTAAAAACGAATGGAAATGTCAATAATATATAAATAAAAAATATTCGCCATAAATGTGTAATACAATATAAATTCAATGATATAATAATAATTTAAAACAAATTGTCAAATTTAACAGTCACGGTAAATAATAATATTAAAAAATATATATAATATCAATATCTATTTTATAATCGTTTTCTTAAATTAAAGGATATTTTTTTCAAAAACATATCTACTTCAATTTCGTTTGAATTTAACCGTTCACACAATGTTTTTAATCTCTTTTGAGCGATTTTTGATTTAGAACATTTAGCTTTGGACTCTCCTACAGTTTGCAAAGCAAGTTTTGCACGGTCAGCCGACATTTCATTTTTTATTTTATTGATTAATGTCCAAATCGATGGATGTTTTACTCCGACTAAATTTTTTTTTTTTTTAATGCCCTGGGACTTTATTATTTAACGTGTTTAAGATGCCGAGCGTATATTTCGGCTTTTTCTTGTTCGCTTCGTGCCCAGGCGCCGTCTTCTTTGTGGAGTGNTGGTGGTATCTGAACACGGGGCTTCTTCATGAGTCTTGTGGCTTTCCATAATGAATAATCAGTATTATCCGTCGCAGTAAGACCACTTAAGTATGATTTGAATGTTTCATTTTTCATTTCTTTGATTTTGTCATGAAGAATTTTGCTTACTCGGTTCCATTCCGTTTTATCCGTTGGGTTCCGTGTACTATGCCAGGTTCGTCTCGCTCGACGTTTATGTTGGACTAGTTTTCTTATTTCTAGTGGGTAAGTTAACTGGTGATTACCATTGATAGCTACCGGAGTTGCTATTTCCGCCGCACTAACAATGTCATAGGTTATTTTTTTTACGGCAATATTAATATCTGCTATTGTTCTTAATCGAGTTGAAAGTATTATTTTTTCTTCGAGGGTATTTCTGAATAGGTCCCGATTTGATTTTTTGTTTGTTATAGACATTTTTTTTTGTTTCATTATCACATCAGAGCTTAATGAGAGAAGCACAGGAATGTGATCTGACGTAAGTTTTAATAGTCCTTCAACTTCCGTATAATTTCATTTTCAATTTTTTCAAACGTTTTTTATTGCTATGAGGTTCTAATTTTCTTCTCAATGCATTTCCTTGTGAAACCCAACACTCAACAGGAGGTACAATGGTGCAAAAGAAAGGTATGATCAGTTCCAATGTCTTCACATGGTTTGGTGAAGTATTTTATTATGAACTATTTCAATAATAAAAAATAAGGCTTGGACTAATAATTTTTTAAGCGAGATCTTCACTGTAACTGATACCTACACAGCTTACATGACTTTTTTGAGATTATGCGTTTGTGAACAAAAATAATTATATCAATGTACTACGATTTTTTTTTTAGTTTCTAATACTGACACAACTTGTCTGATAACTGACAAAGTCCCTGGAAACCGTGTGACAGATAGGTTGAAAACAACCTCTTAGATAATACTACCTTAACCGTGTCTGATAATATAAGACATATATAATACACCTGTAGAGTTTAGACCACATACATCGTTACTCACGTGTAACTATGAAAGAGTATAAGACTCTTATTAGATAAAATGTACATCAAATTATTATGTTTTAGTTAGATTCATAAAATTTATTGTAATATGATCTATGTACCAAGATTAACATAATATTATACTGCGATCCACAATGTATAGAAGATTGAATATTTGCACATTTTTTTATGTGAATATAATGAGCACTCACTTATGTTATGCATTTAACTTAGTCAAGTATTTATAATTAAAAAAATTATTATGTATACAACTATTCCAAAGCAATTTAAATCAAGTCATAATTTATTAGTTGATAAGCAAACTAATAAAAGTTAATAAGAAGTATTAATGAAAAAAGATAATTAATCTAAATGATTATGACAAGCTAATTTCAAGAAATTTTTTATTATAACATACACAAAATATATAGTAGTTAAAGAATATGAAATTACTAAAGAAGACGAAAATGTTTTCCATTAATAATAACATTTACTTAATTAAGAAGTATTAACTGGTTTATGATGCAAAATAAAATTACGCATTTCCAATATAAATAAGTGGTATATATGATCGATAAGTTAACTATTATTTAACTGTTCAAGTATTAGATTTAGTAAAAAATAATAACTGTATAAATAAAAAAAAAAACAGTTTAGAGTCAAAAGTTATTCTATTATTTAAAGCTTTATTACAATATTTAATAATATAATTTTATCATTTGAAAAATAAAATAATCATGAGATCAACTATTTTATACAATGAATACAAGTCGGCTTTTGACAGCTGAAAATATGATTTCAATATTACAATAATTCGCTACTTAACACCAGGTTAGGTTTTTAATATTTTTCTAAGCTTATAAAGAAAAAATATTTAATAAGAATAATGTTTGTTTTTATAACTAAAAATAGTTGAAACTGTAACTTAACTCTAAATAAATGTTTTTAAAATACAATACATTTATATTCAAACTAAAAATTAAAAGCTATTACTTATTTAAAGAAGTCAATGATACTTTTATCAACATATAAATAAAATGATTTAAATAGGTAAAACTATTGAACAMATTTAAAATACAACATTCACGTTGTTCACAAAAAAAAATGCACAGCTAAAATCAGTACTAGGTGACAAGGACGAAAAGTCTCACCTTAGTTTATGGCAGTGATAAATTGTTTACTAAAATGTGGCTAAAAAATAAATTACTAAAAAATTGAACTAAACACATTTTTGACTAAATTTGAAAAAATATACTAATTAACACAATAATAGTTTTAAATTAATTCAAAAAACGAAATTAATGTCCAAATACATTTTTTACTAAAAAAAAAAATTAAAAAAGGAACCCAAAAATTGACCAGATGAAAATAATATAATTAATATATTGAAAAGAATTATATATTTATATATAAAGAGGAAATGTAACATACCTTTTACTCAATAAAAATTATTTTTGAAATTTAATTTGGATAATTATTTAAATTTAGAGAAAAAGAACCAAGAAACAAAGTTAATGAAACTTAGAAACATAGTTTAAAATGCTTTAATCTAATACTTAAATAGGTTTGTAAGCCTAAATAAATATGATCATCAATTAAAATGTTCTTATAAACAGTAGCTTAATCAAATAACATTTAAAAAAAAAAAAATACAATGGTATAAATATATTTTTTTTGGACCTCATATAATATCAATATAACTCCAGCTATACATGTAAKGCTTGTTGTTTTGTACTACTGTTTATAAAATAACTAATAATAATGAAGATAATAAATCAAAATTCAGTATCTTCATAATCCATTGACTGTATAGTATAATAAATAAAAAAAAATTCAATTTTGTACTTTGAAAAAAGTTTCAGAATAAAGGCACGGGAAAAAAATTTAGATAAAAATAAAATAAAATTTGATTTTTCAGTATAAAAATATCATGTTAATAGAACGTTTTGTTTAAAAAAAAAAAAAAACGCTGAGATCTGAAAAATTCTAGAAAGGTGTGTAGATATTACAACCGAATTTAAATTTACATAGTATTATATACAAATATTTTCCTACTTGTTTCTTATAGTTATTATGCATTTACTATAAATGGCATTTACAGTCCTTTAAATTTTGTACAATTTACGTGAACACAGGTGTGCAATGAGCTGCCATAAACTTTAATACAAAATTTACCACACTAGACAATTCCATGGAAAAATTCTTCATGAAACCAATTTGATACTCAAGAACCGTTTACTATAAAATTCCCTAATTATTACTGTTAGTAAAAATTTGATGTAGAGCATTTTTTTGGAGTGTTTAAGCTTATAGAATCTACAATTTAAAAAATATATGTAGATTTCAATTGTTTATAAAAATGTAAAAAAAGTTAAAATATTTATCAGATAGAGAATGTATAAACATTTGATAAATAAATCAATTAAATAATTAATACATTTTTTAGATACAAATACATCATGTCATGTCAAAAAAAAAAAAAACATTTTATACATCATATATATATTGTGTAAGCTGCTGCAACGTTAAAATAATTAAAATTTGTTATTTTAACATAAATATTTTTAATATAATTAACAGTTCAAAAATATAGTCAATATCAGGATATTTGTTCACAGTTGAGAATCATTGGTGTTCATTGATAAAATTATTAAAATAATCCAAAAATATTCTTATGGTTTATTGCAATAATTTCTATGTTACTTTTTTCAAAATTAAAGCTTTGTAGAAAATATTGTTTAAAAAACTAGGTAAAATATTTAAACATTCAAATCCTCGATGTACTTTTATACAAAAATATACACTCACATACACGATATATATACATACATATATATAACATATTACTTAATAATAAAAAAGAGAAACATTTTTATATTGCAGCAACTTACGTTGATTGCGCTACAGTATTATTATTAGGAGGCAGTACGGGTGTATTGTGACAATGTAATATAAAACTGTTGTAGATTTCTATTAGTTCAGACATTTTATACTCTTCAAGACAGACAAAACCTTCCAAATTCGGAGATTGTTTTTTTGCACAGATAACACAATACACGCAATGTTTTTTCTCTTGTTCACGGATTAAGAGAATATTGAATACTTCCACCTAAATAAATTTAAGTATTATTTCAAATTAATAACAATAAATAAACAAATTTTAATATTTTAGAATAGTTTTTATCTGAAGATAATAGCATTTGAAATTTCTTTTTTTAAATTATTATAATACAAAGTTATACCTGCATGTATTGTCTCCGTCTGGCAAGTATGTATCATAGGAAATGTATGTTCAGCAGATCCCATTTATCTTCATTAGTTTAAAAACTAGGTGAATTGATCTCTTATAAAATTTAACAGCAAAGCAACCCCGAGAGCTTTTTATTATATTTTAATTTTGAAGCAAGTTATAGGTGTTTTAAAATTGTTAATTGTTTATACATATTAAAATGCTTATAATTTGCTTCAAAATAAAATAAAAAGCAAATGAGGTTTTCTAAATAATACTTTTATAAGAGTATTATTTATAAATATTATAATAGACATTCCCTCAAGTTTTTAAATTACCGGAGGTAAACGAGATCTGCTGGGCATAAAATTTGCTATGTTACACACTTTTAAGACAAGACATGCGGGTATATCATCCTCTTCAATACACTACTAAATACATGTAGCAAACAAGATTTAACATAATAAAGATGATAAATTATATTGACTTACATCACAGTCATGACAGTAATGTGAAGCTTCATTTTTGCCTCTACCATGAAAACGGGTTTGAATTTTTTTAACCTTTATAAATTCCAAGGTTATACCACATTGTCGAAGAGAACACATTAAGCACATTCTATTTAAAAATACATTTTTTCTTTAAGTAATATATGTTATTAGTGAAATAGTATAATTAACTTACTTAACAAGATCATAAAGTCTTGGATCTGACACTTTAATGTTCCTTGCTAAATTCCAACTTAAATGAATCATTGGTACAATGCTTTTATAACTTTGCAGTTTATTCCATTCATAGCGTTCTATAGCAAGATGATATTGTCTAGCTGTTAAAGGACCAACATTCCATGCTATATTATTACACCAACCAACAGCTTGAACCCAATGGACACAACCTAATAACACAGATATTTTAAAAATATATATATAAATACCTAATAATTCTTAAAAGAAATATTACCTGAATTTACCCAAACCATGTCACCAGGTCTTTGTAAAAATCTATACAAAGGGACATTTGCTGCAAGTAAATCTTCAACCAAAGGCCACCAAGACCCATGTAAGTAATTTAATCCGTACCTTAAGTAAAATATTAATAATAATTGACATAAAATTAGTTAATTAATAAAAATGTTGGTTTTACAATATAATATGATACTCATCTTAAACTTACTTTTCACAAAGGTTATTAATAACACCCCAGTAAGCATCAGGTGCAGCAAACCATTCACAATCACCAGGGCCAATATTAATATTAATCGAGCAAAAATTGTTATTCTCTTGATGCCCGGGTGTTCGGCTACCAGGAACCTTTTTAAAAATAAACAAAACAAAAATATTAAAAATATCTCAATAATTGTGTATATAATTATAATATTCTTACTTTCATATATAACTGAACAGTATTCATGCCTAATATTGAATGTCCAACATGTGAAAGCATATTAGCAGCAGAAACAACTCGCGCAAATGCCGGAAGCTTGGTCAGTTCTTGAAGTTGTGGACGCCATTTTTTTTCATCAGACAAATCAACATTGGTTCCAAACTTAAGCATTTTACTACCAGCAGGAGGTTTCACACCAGGTAAATTCTTTAAAGATACAAATTTTTATTTTAAATTTAATTTTAAAGTTACTGCTATGATAAACAACTTACAATATTCTTTTTCCGTTTTTTTTCCATAGTGATTGAATCTTTAGAATCAGAGTCAGATAAATTTGAATTAGGAACTGAATGAACATTTGGTATACCATCTTTTTCGTCCTAAATTGATGTTAGATACAAATAAGTAAAACATCATAAAAAATAGTAACATTAATATAACATAACTTAACCCAAAAATTAAAGGCGGGTATAGCTCTTGATATATTTCTGAACATGAATCAAACTACTCTCCAAACTTTCCTAACTTCTAAGAACAATCTATGCAATTTTTGTCAAAATCTAAGGTGATATTTTAGTCTGTACTATATAACCAATAAACATATAGAAGAATCATTTTATAAATAAATTGTTATACTTATTGCTGAAAGATATAATTTGTTTATTTTATATTATGTTTTTTCCTCATCAGTTTAAGTAACCATTGGAAATTAGTTATAAACAAAATAAATTTCCAATCTCAAGAACCTCTTTCAGATGATGATTATAGGAAAATCCTTTCTTACTGCACATTTAGAGCATTAAAGAAAACAATATTCCAAATTTCAAGTTCATACACTTTTTATTGTTTATGATATGTAGCTAGGGTTGCCACTTTTGAAAGATGGCAGACCCGGAGACGAAATAGGCTGATAAGCAAAAATAAAAAAGTAAATAAAATTATACTATATTATATACCTATGCGTATAACAGATAAAAATTAAAATATAATTAATAAAAAGTATAACAATTTGAAAAAAAAATTTTTAATTTAATCACATTTTATTAGACGTTGAAAAGTACAAAATATGTTTATTTAAGTTTAAAATCGTAATTAAATTTTTTTTAATTTTTCAATATTAGACAAAATTAGAACTAATTTTACAATAACCCTGAGATTAATTCACTGAAACCATAGATTTATTTGTAACACCGGAGAGGTGGCAACCCTATATGTAGCTATGAGTATTTAGTTTTTTAACAGAATTCTTTAAAATAAAGTTTTCTTGTTGCACAGAAGATGACTTGAATATAGAAGTTATAATGAATATTTAGGTTAATTACTATACACTATATTTTAATTTGTTAACATATAATCTAGAAAATATTTCTGCTTAAATATAAAATATATTTTTTCAATTTATGTCGAGATAATGATTGCTAACTGTTAATAATTATATATATTTTCAAATCAAAGTCAATAACTATTTAAAAATACTAACTCTTATTGATTCGTGAAAACTGGAAGCTTGGTATTGAGCATATTTAGCAATAGTTGTATGTGATCGGTGACTAATACAAGCCCACCCTCTTCGATTTTGTTTCACATCCCAGTTATCATCACTGCTCTGCATTACTTGTGTTCGGACTTCAACAGAATGATCAGGGTTAGTTTCTACTAATGTTCGAGTTGAAAACAAACCCAAATCTAAAGAAACAAAAAGAAATATAATTAAATAATAATACAAAGCATTTAAATCACCAATATAACATAAAAAAAATTAATTACCTAATTTCAGAGCACCAGCTAAACATCGAACAACAGCAATGGGATTTTTTAAACAAAATTCTTGTAATCTAGGACTAAATGCGTCTTTCTTATTTTCAAGCATAACTGAAGGAGTAGATGGCAGTAATTGTTCACGTGTCAATTGTTGAGGAGGAGGTTCTGGAGGTGTGGGTGGCGGTCCATTTGGACTCAATACATTTCTGTTCCACATACCAGGTCCTGTTTCTTTCCTAAATATTTAAATGTAAATTAACAACTAACATACACTCAAGTTAAGATGTAATTTTTATTTTTAATTTAAATAATCTGAGAGTTACACAAATTAGATTCATTTGAGTAGACCTTACAGGACTTATAACCAGTTAATAACTATTATGGAATGACCTTAGTTTTTCACTTGCTAACAAAATTGCAATAAACGCTCAATTAAAAAAAAAAAATTTATTTTAAAACCCAAACAAAAATATTTTAATTAAACACATACAAAAACCAGTAAAACTAATGATAGCTGAAACCAGTTTTACATGAATATCACTAATGCACTAAATGGTCATTGAAGTGTAAATTTGTTTTAAAGCTTTTTATTTGTAGTATCAGCAAAATATTAAAAAGTAAAATTAAGGTTTCACCCAGCTGAAAACAAGTCAGGTGTAAACTAAGTGGAGCAGGTGGTAGTGAACACAATGAACATAAAAATCACCTGTTAGTCAAATTGAAAATGGATATATTTCTCCTAGACTCCAGTAATTATTATGTTTGAACAATTCATTTTAAAATAACAATATAATTTTTATTTGCTGTACATCTTGTTAACAATTTTTCAGTTTTGAAACAAGTAAAAAGAATATTTAAATTACAATATTTAACATACTTGTATATGCTTAAAATAGAAACATCATAAAAAAACCAATAAATAAACACAGATTAAGCTCTTATTCTGAGTTTGATAATAATTCAATTCATTCCTATATTAAATTTATGCATAAACATGCACAGATCTTTTGCAAATTATGTCAATGTTTTTAAATATACCCAACTAAATACAAGAAAATAACTTATCTCACAATGTAAATAAGAATCTAAATGAAAATAAAAATTATATCTTTTTTTTAAATGCAATCTACAATCTATACCACCCACTTTAGCACAAGTAAATGTGAAACAGATTAGTTATATATAAATAATTTAAACAATATACATCATATCCTTTATAACATTTACACATTATATATGACATTATTGAGGAAAACAGCCACCCATTCCGTTCTTTTTAAAAATGAAATCTAATCAATATATTTTGTTTTCTTTTCGACACCCAATATTTTCATAAGGAAAAATAAAACAAATATCTAAACATTCAAGCTCTAATCATGAAAGTTAAACAGCGGAATTTGGCCAGTAAAATCATCGGGTTAAGCTTAACTAAGGTTTAAACTAAGATTGTAAAACAGGCCCCCTTAGTAGTTTAAAATTCTGATCAAAAAATGTACAAATAAAAACTTAGATCATGAAAACTCTATGGAGTACAAGGGAAGCCAAAGCATACCTGGCAACTCCCCTGCATACACCTAAGATGTTATGTCATTTAATAAAATATATATAAAAAAAAATGTTATTTTATGCTAAACTCAATTTTACTAGGTTTTAGATGCATATTTTAATACAGAGATAACAAAATATGTGGGGGTGGAGTGGCCGAACGGACTAAAGCGTCTGTTGCGACGCACGCAGTCGCCGGTTCGAATCTCTGTCACGGGCGGCATCGCTTTTTGGGCATTTCGCGATGTCTGGAGAGAGAGGCCGCCGCCCGCGTACCAAACCGGGCATGTCAGAAACCTACGGGTGCCCATTCAAAATTCTGCCAAAAAAAACCCACGTGTTAAAAACCTACAGTACCTTCCCATACAGTTCTCCAGGCTAATGACCTCAGTTGTCGAAGACAACCCTAATAAAAAAAATATGTTGGTATTACATCCTCTTAGGGGAAAAAAAATATAAGTATTATAATTAGTTTGCTGTTGTTAGTGGATACAAAATAAACATAGGGGAATTTAATACTCTGGAAGATAAATCATTTTTTTTTAGATACAAACTGATATAAAAATCAAACAATTAATAATTAGTACCCAAGAGTTTGGAATCACATTATAGAAATCCTAAATAAATAGTTAATACTATTTCCTTTTTGTATCTACAATAAAACTTTTCATTATATAAATTTAATTTATAAAGTTACTTTAATATATCATACGTTGATAACTTGTTCATTGAAAAATGATATATTTTACAACTTGATTTAATTATAATGGTTTTAACATTAAGAGTTAAGTAAATATAATGTTAAACTTAAATTAGTTTTAATTAAATACTTTAGTAATTACTTACTCCGCAATTTCTAAAATCTCTTCAGCGGTTAAGTCCAAAGAATATTTGGTATCTGACGAACTTGAATCTTGATATCTAACTACTTTTTCAGTTGCAGGCTGTTGTATAGTTTTTACTTCTAAAAATGTTCAAATTAAGTTTGATTTTAGAATAAATATTTTACTATAGTATATATATATATATATATGATAACATTTTATTTTCATACCTTGAGGTGATGTAGCAGTATTAGTTTCAGTTTTAATATTCAATTCATCAGATGAACCAAACTGTTTGAGCAAATCTTCAGCTAATGAAGTAGTTAATTCCTTGTGGGATAGGAGAGCTTGTAATTCTCTATCCAATTCTTGATTTTCACTTGAATCAACAATTAAATCATTGGATTTTGAATTTTCTTGGCTTTGGTCAGAGAACTGTTTTATCACAGTAGGATTTTGATATTGCCCTTGTTGGCTAGAGCCATTTTGTTGTTGCTGCTGCTGTTTCAACCGCAATTGCTGTTGATGTTGCTGCATCATAMGGTAATTATTTTGCAACTGTTGTAGCAAAGCCTAGATAAAAGTAAATCCAATAATTAGGAGATCATTTTGTTTAAAATCAATAAAATACATCCATATTATTATAATATACCTGTTGCTTTTGTGATAGATTATGGGAATTCTCTTGAAGAACGTTCATTGTCTGAAGTTGCATACTATTTAAATAAAATGCAGGTTGAGGAGGATTGCTGTTACTACCAGTTTGAGGTTCAACCTAAAAATAGTAAAATAGGTGTTAAAAAAAAAAAATGAAATGAGAAAGTTTATTAAACAATTAACACTTACTTTGATTCTTTTGGTATTATTTTCTAATGGGTTATCTGGTTTAGATGAATTATAAGGAGGCGGTTGTCCATGGGGTGTAGCAATCATATCCTGARATTTTTGATAAGGTGTCTGTAAAGTCTTTTGTTGTTGCTGCTGCTGCTGCTGCTGCTGCTGTTGTTGTTGTTGTTGTTGCTGCTGTCTTGAAGACATTTCTGCTGAGATAGGTAAATTCCAGGCTTCTTCAATTGAAGGTAATTGTCGCCGTCTAAAATATTAATAAATGTGAATACAAATACACAGATTAAATGACTATGAGCATTAAAAATAAAACTTACTTGCTAGTAATACTAGGCATTGGTGCATTGCATAAATGAGTTTGTAAAAACTTAATACGTTGACCAAGATTAGGATTCATATTAGATATTGCTGATGCAGGAACATTTAAGGTCGTTTTTATCAATGTTTCGCTTACTACTGCATTACCTTTTGTTGCATTAACATAACAAGCAAGGGCGTCTTTTGGTTGGTTACAACTTTCATATAATATACCTAAGACAAAAATTTGATCAAAATTCTTTTGAACTTAGTGAGTTAAACCAAAATTTATATTACCAAGATTAGTCCAAGCTGCACTATGGCCTTTATCTAATTGTACTGCACATATATATGCTTGCAATGCATCCATAGGCTGGTTCTGTTGTTGATAGAGTACTCTTTAATTAAAATAACAAATAATTGTATAAAGATGAATGAAAAATTAAATTATTACTCAATATTAAAACTATGTACAAACATTTTTTTAATTTTGTAAATTATTTTTCAGTTAAAAATTCTTAAGTATTTCTTCTCATAAATAATAAAAATTTCATTAAAATATGAAAATTTTTTTTACCCTTTTCAAAGAAATTTCACAGGAAAGTCTAGCTAACTATGAGATATTTATAATGTTTTTTTAAATTATTAAACTTGATCAATTGTACAAGTATACTAGACTGACAATGTTTCAAAATCATTTGTTGTATGCAATTACTGTACAGCAGAGCAATACTCCACGTGTCCACCTTTTTTTAAAATTAATGATTGTTTATTGTTTTAAAGATTAATAATATCCGTGCAAATATTAAAGGTCTCTGGTTTTTTTTTTTATGGCAAGT